TGAAAGGGAGTGATTTTTTCGCACGTACAGACCAGTGTAAGTTATTCCAGAGTCTGAAAATTTTATTGGTTAGGATGAGATTGTTTCACTAATTACAAAAAGTTACGGATGCTATTACTCGGAAATGCTTCATTGAACGTAAAACAAAGTTTTTTAAGTATTTTGAGGAAAAAGACTGTATTTGGTTTGAGTCACATTTTCCATTAAGGGTCGAGTCTAAGTATATTACATCCGGACCTAAAATTTAAGGTACAGTTAGTCCAAACAATGAGAAATGTAGATCGTCCGTTAAAGAAATTCAGCCTTAATTTATCCTTTATGAGAACGTTACTGAGGATATACGTGCAGTGTTCTAGGAATGGTTGAACACATACTTGGTACATTAAAATATGTGACTCGTTGTTATAGAGGTTAGAAATTATGTAACCTAGAAGACATTGAGACTTGGGGTTTGTTTAGAGATCTGTTCTGAAAAGAACAAATTGTAGGTATGCCTAAGTTTCAAGTTCACTGCTGTATGTAATTTGTACAATCTTTTACAATTTATGATAATGTGTAGGCTAAATGAATTATAGCCAAAGCACATCCATCCACATTTGCTCTTTTCAAAATGATAAAGGGAACTATGTGTATGAAACATTTAGGGGTGTTAAGCTCCACTTACTGTATCGAGCATAACTAGGCTACTTTGTTGAGCTTGATACTGATACAATCTTGCATACTGTACAGCTCATGAGAAGAAAATGAACCCCGTAATATACAAGTTCGCCTGCAAGAAGCTGGTGTTTAACCATATCAGAAGCTCTAGAAAGAGAGTAAGTCAAAGTGGCAGATCATACAAGATCGGTTTTTAAGGAAGCCATGTTAATAATCAGTGATGAGTTTTCGAGTAAGTAAATAGCTGGAGAGTTCATCACCGACAATTATTTCTCTAATCCTAGAGAATAACTGACGTAATATTTATGAAATGATAATTGTTAATTTCAGTCTTTTGGCCGAATATGTAAAATGGTGTGATATATGCAATTTTCTAACAGCAAGGGTAAGTATCTGTCTTCAAAGAGAGAGTAAACAGATTTAGAAGAAGCAGTGGAATATCATATCCACGAAATTTCGGAACCATAATTAAGTTTATAACCATGTAGGGGCTGATAAAATGTCAAGCCCACATGGGTTATTCTAGCCTTCGATCAGACCAGTCTATTCATTCTTCTCAAGCCACACTTTGACCTTGTTAATTATCCGATTATTAACCCTAAATGTTTTTATATGATCGTATGTATGTAAGAAAAACACACCAAATATATTCATTTTCAAATGTTTCATATCCTGTTGCAGTGAACGAGAACACAAGTGGGGACAATCGAATGTATTTTACTACAAAATTACAGAACGTCTGAAAAACATACAGTAAATACTTCATTTACAAAATGTCAATTAATCGTCTCAGGCTTTATTGTTCCTTCATTTCCACACCAATCATTCTTTGTTCTTATTCTCTTTTCTTTAATCTTCTTAACCTTCTGCCGCCAACCATTTCACTTTCAACTGACGATACATACTACTTATATCTGTCAACATCAGTAGCAAACACCAAACTGTGACATTTTATAAATAAATCTATTAAATATGTCAACTTATTTGATGATATTTAAATATAAACATTGTAAATTTAGCTATTTCTTTGAGTTATTTTACAATTATTTAAATGAAAATTAAGAAATAATAAAGTTAATCAAGACTTCAATGTTTCAGTAAGTCATTTAATAGTAACCTTTGGAAAATACTTTTAGGAGAATGATAATCTAAACATGTTCCAAAAATAGATACGAATTCATATTGAAGTAATTTGCATAATCAGCAGTAAGATTTTCATTATTTTGTGTCTAGATAGTGTTGTTAAAGTCATATTAGATTTTCTTTTTACCAAATAAATGTTTTATTAAAAGTTCATCAAACGTTAAGTTTTACACATAATTCCATTTCATATATCTTTTTTATTTCATTGTCAACTCTAAATTCTTCATAGAAACTGTATATTGGAGGACAATGATATACTGATAGGTAACATTTAATATAGCTGTTATAAACAGATAACATTTGGGAGATGAAGTAACTACTACTCCTATACTTAAATTAAAAGTAATTTTCAGTGTACAAAATCTTATAGCTTAAAGTTATCTTTGATTCATAACCTCTATACAGTCAAAACTTGTTACGGGTTGAAGGCTCATGCATATAATCTGGACAAAAATTCAATTTTTTTTCATAAAACTTCATCACGTTCCCTTTATCATCTTAAAGAGAGTAAAAACAAAAGTTGGTGCAGAATAGTATAAATTCAATATGTTTCATTAAATTCTTATCAGCTGCTTACAGCCTATTTAATATTTCAAAATCAAACTTATCATATAAATTGACACACTTATAAATATGAAGGTGGTTAAAGACGAATATGTGTATCATAATGTAGAGAAGATTCCAATAGAAATAGTCATAAAAAATTTTTGTTTCAGATAAATAAATAAAGTATGAAGGAGAATGTTCCAGAACATCAAACTAGCGGTAAGAAATCATCGAGTTAACAAACATTAGATGACTTTGTAAGGAAATAACTGAAAACAGATTAATGGTAGTAAAGAAAGGTAATGAGTTGAGATCAATCAATACGAATGAATGACAATTATGTAGTCAAAACTTGAGAAAAAAATTAGAATAATGAGCGATGCAATAAAGAGGAAGACATATTACTACATTTTTGAACACGTAGATCAGGTGTTAGACGTTTGATCGCTATAGCTTCAGTTAATTTCAGGAGGTTAGAATCAGCTCTATGTATACAAAAAGAGACAGTAATAAATCTTTCTTTGCCCTGGTAACATTACCCGCCCCCCATTAATTAATTAATTTATTTATTACGTCATTTACTATTCCAACTCTTTCTGAATTTTAAAATTACATCATTCATAACTGACCGACTTCAATTGATATCTTTGTTTATTACCATTAATCTTTTTCCAGTTACTTCATCATATAATCATTTAATGTGTTTTTAATTCCATGAGTTCTAATGTTCTGGAACCTTTCCTCCTAAACTTTATTTGTCCGAAACAAAATTTTATGATCTCATTAACTCTAACGGAATCTTTGCTACGTCATGATACATATATTCATCTTTCATCACCCTCGTATGTATAAGTATGTCAATATTTGTAATAACGTTGATTTTCAAATATTTTAGGTTGTAAACAGCTGATGAGAACCTAACGAGATAAAGTCGATTGATACTGTTCTGCACCAATCTTTGGTCTTGCTCTCTTTAAAAAAGTAGTTGTATAGACGAAACATTGTTTGGTAACATGATATTGGCTGAAATTTGAAATACCATTTAAAACAACTTTGGCATATTCAAATATGTTTGAACTAATGGAGTGGATATCCGATTTCTGGAATCCAAATCTGCAACCGTGACTTATCGCATGACTTTCTATTTGAGAAAGGAAATCAGCTTCAGTATTACCGATCATTTGAATAATGTTAATTGTGAATGAAATAACATTAAAAAAATACCATATCTATCTGTTGTGACTTTAAACTTGGATCGATTTTTACCCCGTGCCAATTGTTGTGTCCTTGACTGAAAGACGAGAGAGCAGCGTATTTATCGATCGATTCAGTGACACGTAAAACACGTACGAACGACCTACAGTCCCGATCGGCCCTGCTTCGCTGTCTATCCCAGCCAGTTGAGTCCAGAACGCAAGTCTTAGCCTCTGAGATATGAATCATTATATTTCAGACATACTCTATTTATATACCAATCAACCAGACCACATCGTACCATAAAATAGGAAACAACATTTACACAATATTTGACAAGTGAAATAAATATTGACCAATAAGAAATGTTCATGTAAAGTCCAAAAACATCGTTAGACTTAACATGACAATTATTAGTATATTTTTCTGCACATCCTAACACAATCCAAATCCTTTCAAGAGTTACGAGCATTTTATTTATGAGTCGCTTTGATTGATTTCAACCACGTGACCACTGAGTTATTCAATAAATGAGGTGGTGTCAGAAAATTTGTTCAGTTTTTACAACTTAGTAATTAAAGAATCATGTCATTTTTTTAAGATGATAAAATTTTATCTTTGGTGTTATTAATAAATAATATTTCAAATAATATCCCAATCAGTAGAAAAATGAGATTTTCTAAAGTTTCGTGACTCAGTGTAAGCCATCTCTTCAGAGAATAAATAACCAAATCAATGTTGAACTTCTGAAATGCTAATATCTAACTGACGATCCGTTAATATTTATCGTCAATATCGAACAAGAAATAAGGAACGAAAATTCGCTGAAATACTTTTTGCTGAGAATTCTATATTGTACCAAAAATATAATATTGAATAAAGCTTATAATATAGTAATATAACGACTGTCTACCAGTTGATAACAAACTCCATTACTTTGAGAATATCACAATGTAACCAATGCAATATCATAATACTTATAGTCCATATTGTTTTTAATAATTTTATAGAATTTAACTTGGAAAAATTTCTTCTGCAATCGGCGAGACTATAATTTATGGACGAACGAATTACTATAAGATAACAGGTCTCGGATTTCGGTGCGAAATCCATTCATCAATTTGGCAAACTAGAGTTTTGGCATTATAGCTGATGACAGTTCGTGATGAAAACCCTAAACATTATTCCTAACCTTAAACACTAACCGCAAATCACAATTCGGTCCTAGGTATTAGGTAGACACTCTCAAGGTCATTTTAGCGTCGCTCAACGATCACCCATAAATTATAGTCTCATCTTGGAATCTACTAAAAAACAATGAAGTAGATTATTTTTACCAATTATTAAACAGACTTGTATGTTCAAATTGTCAGTTTTATTCTTACTTTAAAATATTATACATATATTTATACATTCAAAAGATTGTGTTTTAAAGGATTGAAAGCGAAACAAAAACTTACCATGTTTATTTCCAAATTTCACATATGGTTTACGATTTTCTTCTCCTAAAAAAAAGAAAAGAAAACAAATCCCTGTATTCTATTGAGTCCTATTTTTTGTGTGTGTGTGAAATATTCTCAAGTAATCAGTAAAATGATCTTGAAAAAAATTATTGATAAAAGTATATGAAATTGAAAAACGCCAATATAAAAAATCACCAATTTTTTTCCCCAGTAAATCAATGAATTCCAAATGTTTAGATGATATACACATGTATGTATAATGATACATACATGAATTCAGTATATGAATAGACACTTCTATTCTTTTCATGACACTATATGAAATGAAATTATATTTCTATTACGCCTATTACGCCTTTAATATTCTCCTGGGTCCCATTTTTTTTGTTTCTAAGTCATTTATCTAGATATTTATTTATAGTTTAGTGATATAGTTAAAATATTAAAAAATAATTTTATATTAAGCACCATTATGAGTATGAATAAAGTAGAAACAATAAACGTAACATAATAATATGGATTTACGATATTTTACATTAACTTTATAAAACGTTATACGCATTAAAAAAACAAACGTATGATTGCATAGTTAAAAAATGGTAATTGTGATTATGTAACAGGGTGTACATGTTATCATTTAATGTGAATAGAGTTCTAAGTAGATAGACACAATTCATTAAATGGTAGGAATCCATATTAATTTGTTTCAATAGTTTCTTTTAATTTCTTCAGAAGAGAAAAATGATTAGAATGAGAGTATCGTGTAATACGAATATAAAATGTTTTTTATAAAAAAATATATTTGAACTTGGAATACGTATTGCTATGACATGGAAATAATTTTATTAAAAGATAAATCGAAAAAAAATGAAAATTCTTCCCTCAATTATTTTGATAGAGTTTTGTTCTCTGAGCTGGATGATTTGGTCGTGTGACCATGCAGTTGTTTGTGTTCTCTTCCATGGGTGGTTTTGAGATCTTGATACGTTTCTTCTTTAGAGTGTTTCTTCTTTGTTCTCTGTGTCGTTTGCATGATATCTCGATGGCTGTTGTCAAGATTTCTAAATGTTTGAACCAAACCATCCAGCTCAGAGAACAAAACTCCATCAAAATCACCCACCTGAGCTACAAATCTTCTCCACCATCTTCCGTCAATTTTGTTTTAATAATTCAATGACACTCTAATAACACCAATCACTTCTAAGTAATAATTAATTAATAAAAATTAATATACTTTAAATTAGATTCTGTCCATAAAACACATTTTTATTTAGGAGGGTACACTGGAATTGATTTGATAAATTTAAGTAATCTAAGTGAGTGTAGGAAGATTGATAATAAACTTATCCAAATTTATGGCACTATATACAGTGATTAAGAACAGGTGGAGACAACCAATTTTGTTGTTTCAAACAAATTACAAAATTTCTTGGTAAAATATGAAAATCATACATTAAATACTTCATTTATGAAATTTCATCATTTGGCCTTCACATTCTAAATATTTCTTCTAAGTCGCAATTCCTTGCTATTTTCGTTTCTGTGTTTTACAAGTCGACCTGCCTAACTTTCTGCTGCTAGGATTTCCACTTCCGATTGGTGTTCCATAATATTTATGTATGTCAACATAAGTGGCATATATCACATATCTATCAAGTCATTATTTCATTTCCTTTAATAATTGTAATGTTATTAGTTTATTCAAAGAAATTCTACAGTTACTTATAAAAGAATTATAAATTAGGAAGTTGATTTTGTGAAATGATAACGGCTTTCAATTCTAAAGACATTAACAGTACGGATACATTTAAAATATGTAAACAAAACAGAAGAAACGACAACATCACTAGCATTTTCAGTTACAAATATTCTCTATCATTGTTTACAGGATTTAATAGATACATGTTGTATAAATAAAGGTCATAAAGTACTAACACAATATAATTTTTCTATTATCAATTAAACAAAATTACAAGAATACTACTTAATAAAATGGTACATATAACGAAATACAAAGATTTGATTTTAAATCAAAACAATGAACTCATTATAAAATCTGAGACATTACATTCATGAATAATTTCAAAACATTCTCCTATTCATGTATCTTTTATTATTTCTAATAAGTTGATCAACCAATGATACATTTTTCCTACTTTCTTTCCAGGTCTGTTATGAGATAGTAACTCACTGAAAAAAAATGGTGCAACTTCTTAGATTGTTTCAAGTTAAACATTAACACCGTTCGATGCCAGCCGGCTCAGTGGTCTAGTGGTTAATTGTTCACCGGCGAGACCGATAAGTCTTGAAATCAAATTGCACGAGGCAGGATCGTGAATGACCACTGTTGAGGAGTGCCACAATAAAACAAAACAGCCGTCCAGTGCTTCTAAGTTTTCCATCGTACTTTAATTTTAATTGACTGATGAATTCAATGATTAAATTTAAAAAGAATTTAAGCTTTACTATTCATTTGGAAACACAATAATACTGAAATTACATAACAATTTTTTTTCAATTTAAAGCGTTCAAGTCAGTAAATAAATCATTTCTGAAATGTTCATTATAGAATGTTTATAAGTGTTGACGACTTTATTGTTATAATTAATTTGTTCCGTAAATATTAAGTTGTTTCCTTTTCTTATCTTTAAGAACAAATATTTCTACAATAAGCCTGCATTCAAGTAAATAAATGTGAAGTTAGATTGAAACAGGAAGTTATAGATTAATTTATTAAGGTAAATATTTACGTATTTGAAGCAATTCTATGACTGTATATAATTAACCATAAGTAGTCATTATAATAGGAATGACTTTATTCAATATTCTATGACAGTTTCAACAAACTGCTTTTACTATTATTATACGTTACAAAAAGAAAATCTAAACACATCTATATATGAAATAAGTAAATAATAAAATTTATGGAAATTAAATGAAATATTTGTAGGAAAATAGATTAACGATAGGTTCTAATTAGATCAGCTACTGAAATAAGTGGATACACTAGATAAGATATCACAAAGATCTAGTACGTTAAGTTATGGGCATAGAAGTTATAGCAACTCACATGCAATTGAGTTTGTTCTCATTTAACTCAGTTTAAGCCCTTTTGTTAACTTATTTATCGGACAAAGTCATCCGTACTATAACAGATTTTTGTAACTTTATTATTGTTATGCTTGTATGAAATATGTATGCTCGAACATAGTTTACCGCCTACGCACATACTCGTTCTGCTAGCTTTATTGCTAGCTGCTTAATTGATTCGATGATCTATTCATTTCCCTATATATATACATGTACATTTACACTCTACACACTCTCGGTTAGCTGACTCACTTATCCACCTCACTGCTTTGTGCTCTGATTTATCTGCTAATAAAACTGTAGTTGCTGCTTCTCTTTACCTTCTAATTTCAAACACCGTTGAAGATTATATGGTAACGGCCACGAGGATGATTGGTTAACGAAGCACAGCCACTACAGACTCCAATATAAGTGTGGTGTGTGCTACTTATATTGACATAAGTAGTATATGATGTTAGTCGTGCACAGAAGGTTTGGTAGCAGAGAAACAAGAGGATCGAACAGTAAAGAATGGAAACAGAACGCAATTTGTATGATAATGCAAGAACAATGAAGTCTGAGTCATTTTGAGACAATTGATGGATTGTTAGATTTTATTAACAAGTCTCGTAATTCTGTGTTAAATACGTTCGATTGTCCTCACTGGTGTTCTTGTTCACTACATAAGTACATCTCATTTTAATAGTTGAGTTCATGAGTCAATTGAAGCTCGACAATCATTGAAAACTTGGGAGCACTGGACGGCTGTTTTCTCCAACTGTGGCACTCCTCAAATTCATTCTACCGGAAGATATATAAAGAGAAAAAGTGAGTAAAGTAAATGTTTAGCCATTGATAAAATAAAACTTCCTAGTAGTTCACAAAATTTCGAATGTCTCTCCACAAACATCTTCATAGTGAGTCATTAAAAAAAAATAATATATATTTGTAAAATCTCAGCGAAAGAATTTGAAGTAATTCCAACGTTTCGCCTGGCAATCTGGTCCAAGCTTTTTCAAGGAAAATATAATCAAACAACAAATTTATCTTTAATGACTCACATTAACTCAGCGCCCAAATATTGTAAAACTATTCGTTCAAATTTAGACGAAATTTCTTATTTATCTTCATAGCGACTTCAAAAGATTTATCATATACTCTACTAATTATTTTTAGTAATCTCTATAATCTAGATAAATCTTTTCCCAAAAGCCTAAAAAGTAAGACAACGGAATAATAGTTGCAAACAATATTGTACTTATCCAAAATGCAGTGAACTTCCATGTCTGAACCTTGTATATCTTCAGTCTTAAGGTTATATTTTATCGTGAGTCATTTCTACCGTAACATTTATTACTCTGTGAACTTAATATTTATCATTTATTTTAATAATTACTTACAACCAAGTAAATATATGTCTAACGATTTCCTTTACTGAAATGTTTGAAGATGATTAAATTATTATTCCATTTATCTGTATTCTTTCTTGAAAACTAAGAAGTATTACTTGATAATTGACGATTCAAATTATAGAAAAATCAAACATTGTAGTGTTCTTACACATAGTTCCCTTTATCATTTCGAAAAGAACAAGAACGAACATTCTAGCAGTTTAGTGTTCGATATATTTTTCAGATATTTTTTTGTTTACTTATGTACTTTAATATTTTAAAAATTGGATCAAGATTATTCTATGCAAAGTTGAAAATATAAATAAAATATGACATTTTCTACAAATCTGTTTGTTTAGTCAACTACAATCCATCAAAATAAGAAGTCGTTGTTAAATAGTCAACATAAATAATTTCTGAACGACCTTTGAAAAATTATAAAAATTAACTTAACGAAATATATTTTTTCCGCTATTTTTTAATTATTTTTTTTATTTTTATTTTGGATATGACATATTGTCTCAAATGTCTATTTGATTATTTTGTAATACATATATAGTTTTCTTATAAATATTGTATTTCCATCTCTAGGTGTTCTCAGTTATAGACACTTACCACAATTTTTAAATTAGTGTAGCATCATGAAAAGAGAATGAATAATCAATTCTGATGAAGTTTTGTTCAGTACAGTACGTGTGAAGCATTTCGAACATTTCACTTCTACCAGACGTTTGTGCTGATGATGTCGTTTAGATGAATGATGTAAGCTGCACGATCAAACCATTCAGCTCAGAGAACAAAACTCCATCAAAATTATCCGCTTGAGCTACAAATCTTCTCCATCATAATA